CTGAGATGTTATGAATGATTATGAGTGTCTCATTACACCTGATACACATCCATGTAATACAATTCTCCATTAGAGTGTTCGTTGGGAAAGGGTTTCAGGCTAATAATGATTGATCTTTCTCATGAATTGCTTTCTATTTTTGCTCATAAAGTTCTCCTCAAAACTACTTCCTAAGGGCAGCACTTAAAAGCCCACCTTTGAACATGTGAAGAAATTGTTTGACTAGATGATTCGTATGATTATTATTTATTTTCATTTGTTTCTAATGGTATGATAATAGAACACAGAAAAGATCTACAAGAAGTGTTCAAAAAAATATGCACTGAAATGAAATAAAGATTTCCATTACTTCAAAATTCTGTTCATATATTGGCTATTTGTGGTAAATTTACATGAAACACATCAATATGATACCTGATATTTTATGAGCAAAGAAGTTCACAAATGTTACCATGATCCCTTTCAAGGAAGCTCTAGTGTTTAATTTTGTGCAATCAATATTCTCTCTGGGGTTCAATAAAGCAGATGAACATTTGAAAACAAAATTACACAGTATCTATCATTTTTCAAGTAACCTCTCTTAAATGTCCTCTACAAAGAGAAGGAGCTTATATTTCTAAATTTGGTGCTAAAATCCCCTTTTGAACATTATCACCGTTAAAACATTCCATTTATTCAACTATCTCTTTGGGATAATTTATACATGCAATTCATGAGTTGTATATATATATTTTTTTACTGCCAGTATGTTTGAGAAGATTGCCCTTGGGAGGATCTGTCATTTCTTTCACTCACCCCCACTCTAACTTAATTTTTCTTCTGAATACTCTTCCTCAAATCCACTAATGTTCTTGTTTTGTCTATGTCTTATCAATATCATCTACTGAACAGTAGCATTCATCTATCATCTTATCATAACATCATGTTAATAATATATCCTGCCACGGAAGCAGACTATTAATTTCAAAACATTCAGAAAATGTTTTTAGTAAACTTGATAAAGCCATGCATATCTTTCATTGCGTGGGAGCCAGAACTCAAACAAGGGAACTTCATCGTTATTCTATTGCCATTTAGGGTGTCTCTTAGTCAAGAACATGATGACATTCATGTCAACTTGATGTACTATACAAATAGTCCTTCATTGTAGTATGATCTTAGATTTATTCATATTTTGTGACAAATATAATTCTCTCTATTCTTGATAACACCATTAACTTTCCCATTTATTTGTGAGCTTTTTAGTCCTTAACATGCCAGAATGAAATTAAATAATGTGATAGAAATGTCCCCTGTAAAGGACTGCTCTTCAAAAGGCACTCATGATGACTCAAAATATGACAAGAATAAGCTGAACATTTTAGACTAAATATCCATGCATGCCAAATGTGTGTGTACTCTCTTTTAATAATAAATTAACAGTCTCATTCCACAAGTTATATGAGCAGTGCAGGTGATTTTCAACAAGATTGAGATTTTTTTCTCCATTTTGATTATCCTAAAAGATCAGTTTACATCAGTTCTTAACTTCTTTTGTACTTGACTCTTAAAACTAAAATGTTAAATTACTACTTAAGGGGGCAAATTAGGAGTGACCAATTTTCATAATGTCAGATTAACACCTTTAACATGCTAGATTCATAGATTTACAGTGTAGGACCAACATGTTAAAAGTGTTAATCTACCATTTTGAAAAAGTGGTCACACCTCTGCCATTTTAAATGGTGATATGACATTTTAGTTTTTAGAGAGTACATCATCCAGCTTTCCAAACTGCTTCCAGCTTCTTTTACATTATAAGGGTATAATCACGACTCAACTTTATATTTAAAGGAGATACACATCATCACTATGAAGCTCTTGAAATAGAAATCACTTTTGCTAGATTCAAGATTTTCTCCTGATCATCATCAATGGCTGTGAAGTTTCCAGACTTATGATAGAGAGAGAGAGAGAGAGAGAGAGAGAGAGAGAGAGAGAGAGAAAGAGAGAGATGGTCTGGTTAGAATAGGAAATGGTGGATATCCTTATAATTATTTCTAGTAGGAGAGTCAAGGCATCATCTGAAATTGAAATCTATGGTCAATTTATTTTTAGATGCAAGTGTGTCAGCTTTTGACAACGATATATATGAAATTGTATGATGGGTTTACTTGAAAGCAGAATATTCAGTATTCTTTTCAAAATACCATGAAATTCAAATGATTTTTCGCCACTTTTGCAAAACAAATGGTCCTCTTTTTTATATTAGTAAAAAACATAATTATGTGTATATCTTGTACGGTATGTTAAATGGTATGCAGATCTATGTCTAAATATCATTTTAATACCATTACTGTTAAATCAACATAACTCTTCCTTTATGTATTCATGAATCCTTGATATTCTTTGCATTGTATGATTGTTCATATGCTGTCATTATTGTGATGTGTTGTTGTTAATAAATTAAATTAAATTTTTTAAATTAAAAAAAAAAATTTGTTCAGTGTAGATAACTTATCATAACTGACTGTGGGGGCCAAGATAACTATTTGCACCTTTGAGGTTGGGTGGGGGCAACTAAATGAAATAAAACTGACCTCATTCAGGTGAACTGTACCACTGCCCCCTCCCATCCCCCTCCCCCCCCTCCCCGAAAGTGAAAATTAGACCCCTTGGCATCTCTCAAATAGCATCACCTAGCCCTCAAGTTTCTTGTCAAATTTCCATCTCAAATGAAGCAGGACTGAAAGTCTTCCTCCTTCCATCAACTCTTTCTTGGAAACTGGGATAGCATCATGCTGTGATTTGGATCTTTGACCCACCAGGCCTAGCCTAGCCCTTTATTTTGCCTTAAAAGGTTTGCAACAAAAAGCAGATAATTTTCATACTTGTATTTGAGAGATTCCAAAAAATATTGTGTATTATCCTTTTTTGTGTTCCTGTCTATTATCTACTTTCAAGAACGAGTTCAATATATGCAAATTGAACTTTCTCTTTCTGTTGATAAAATCCATTCTGGGAATGAAATGTAGTCCCTCCTTGTTTGTGTTTGAATTCTCTGTGGACTTGTGAAGGGAAGAAATCTGTTTGAATTTCCATAATGAAATTTGATAATGAAAATATTATTTCTTAATCTTTATAGTGCCTTTCCAGTTACAAGTAACTGAATAAAACCCTTAACAGTAAATAGAGTTTGCCTGGGAATTATACGAAAAACTGTATTATATAGCCTAAATATACTTACAGTATCAATCTATGGTAATTTATCTAAGAGTACACTCTTACAGTAGGACATATTTGGTTAACATGCTTTTATACCAGCTCATGTTTAATTTGATTTGTTCTTTTCTCAAATATCTTTGACATTTTTATCCCAAGTGATTTCTGGCATGAACTTTCAAAAATTAACCCTCCATGTCATGTACTTCCAGACCTGTCATTATCTATTAGAATGGAGAAGAGCCATACAAACAAAGTTCTATTCAAGTTTCACACGTCAACCATGAAATGTTTTCTTTCGTGTTTCATATGGTGTCTTTAAAGAGGAAAGCGGAAGCATTCATAGCGATCATTATCAATCCCCATGTGCTAATGTGCTGGAAGCCAAAACACGATGCCAGGAGGAGATAACTCAATACAAAGCTGCTACAAAGGTTAACAAAACCCCAACACTCATCGAAAAAATATGAGCCAAAATAGGACTTTTTTCTGACTTATCGATTCATCATGCAAGGCTGTTGAAAATGACAAAGCAATGTGGAACAGCTAATTTTGTCTTCGTAAGAACGGTGTTGCGATAATATTCCCTAGTTTGCGTGATGACCTTGGCCGGTAATTAGGAATAGAGACACATCATCTTCCTATAAATAACAAGATCACAGGAGGGTAAATCTCCCTGGTCCTTAGAACGGATGACAAGCTTACAAGGGAATAAAGCCAATCATTCAACATGCAGGCCACTCTTTGGCAACTTTGGCAACTATTATAAAAATAATCATATACAGTTAACAACTAAATTATCCATACCCCTTGTAAATCTTTTTTGGGGGCATTTTTTGTAACTCAAGAATGAAAGGTTGACTGGTTGAATTAGGGCCTTTGTTGAATACATTTAGATGTAAGCTTTCATATATGTCACATTCTCAAGAAACATAAATTGGGTCAAATCAATTTTTGCATACTTACAAAATTACAAAACTTGGTAAGGGGATGAATAATCTAGTTCTTAACTTTAAGATAACATAATGCACATGCTCATGTCGAAGAGCCACATGCAGAGGATCTGATTTCATTGTCTATCTGGAATCAATATAAACCATGCAGAACTTTGAGATCTTCAGATAAAATATAACTGTTTTTCAAACTTTATATAAAGTTTATTGGTTATACATGTACATTAAATCCTACAGTTACGTCACTTTAAAATAATAAAGCATTTATTGCAATATGTTAAGAAGCAAAGGACAATGTATACAAGCAGATAAGATAGCAAATGAAACATAGCTGAAAGTTCTTGGTAATTATGACTATACAACCGTATTCAGTAAATGTAAGATTAAAGAATATGAAAATAAATGAAAGCTAAGATAGCACAGGGAAATGAGTTAGAAACTTACACAACCCTCTTTCATTAGATGTATAAAAAGCACATGACAAATGTATAAAAGCAGAGAAGGAAATCTAGCTGAAAAACTCTCTATCATGATCATACAACATGTATTCATAAAACATTACATACAAAAGAAGCGTATGATGTACATGAACAAAAGCATAGAAGATATTGCAAGAAACCATGCTGAACCCCTTCATGATCATGATTATACCACGCTTGTTTCTTAGATATATGAAAGAAGCAGATGATCATGGATGAAAGCAGAGATGATAGGAGAGGGAAACACCATGCTGCAAGCTCTAAATGATGATGGTTACAGGGCACTCTTTAGTTAGATGAGAAGGTTGACTGCAAATCAAAAGGTTTTTATGGATAGCGAGCATGGATTGAAAGACAAGGCTCTTACCTCGCTGTTTCTTCTTTTCTGGTGGTGAAGCTTTAGGAGACCTGACATCCTTGAACGCTCCATCTATCGATACCGACGATGAGGAGTGATCGTCAAAATCCACCGTATGACTCTTCCTGAAATACTTCCTTTTCTGAGGTTGTTTGAACTCTGACCCTGACATCCGACCCGATTCCCTCTCTGACACACCACTAGCGTCCGTCATCTCAATGTCTAAGCTATGGCTCTGCAGGAGACGCTTCTGCTTTAGCTTCTCCTCCACCGGTCCCATCGACCGTGCCACGCCCAATCGATCTCCATCAACCTCATCAAATGATACATTGTCTGGGCAAGTAGCGGTTCTACGGAATCGTGATCTCTTCATTGAGATCTCATCTGTCTCTTGCTGTGCCCCGGAGGCCAGATTGGACTTGCGCTCTTCGCTTGGTGAAGTTCGTTTCGGTTTAGATTCCAGGTAGTCTTCATTTGAGCTACCCGTCGATAGATCACTACCCTTCCTACGAGTTTGCGCAAGCACGGCTGTCCTGGCCCAGCTGGGTGGCACAGTGCCTTGGAAAATATCTTCATTGTCTGATATATCATCAGTGGACTTTTGTATGAATGCTTCAAGTCTTGCAGCAGCAGCTAAATCATCAGGACCAACATGATAAATCCCACTATCCTCTGACTTGGTTTCCAAACCATCCACATGGAATGGAGGACCAGACTTTCCTTCCTCTACCTCGTCATCTGACTTAGCTCCGTCTCCTCTAGAGTTGGAGCGGCGCTTGACGCTACCCCTACGATTGGTTAATTTCTCTTTCATCTTCTCAATCTTTGAGAATAGACCCTGTTTGCTCCTCTCTTTGCTATCTCCCTCATCACCAAATGGATCTAGAGATCTACTACGCTTTTTGATACTTTTGTTCTTACCGTCTCTCTTTGAAGAGCGCCCTCTCTTCTCGCCTCTCACTGCGATGTCTCCATCCATGTCCTCACCGACCTGGCTCTCCGGTTCAGACAGCGATTCCCCCGTTGCGTGGGTGTGTTCAAACCTTGATCCACTGCTACTGCTTAGGTCTGAGGCCCTTCTCTGAGCCTCACAATGGCAGTTCTGCCGCATTGTCTCATTCCTCAGTTCGTGCAAGTTTTTGATAGCCGCAAGGTACTCAGCTTGTTCTCTCAACTTAGAGTTCTGCATCTTAAGGGCACACATTTGATCCATAAGCCTCAATAGATGATTAAGTTGTTGCATGCCCTGACCTCGCTGTAAATCCAGTAGGTTGGGCATGCCTTCTAGCTCAGCACTTTGTATATTCTCAGTCAATGGTGGCATCCTAGGCTGAGGAGGGGGAGGGGATTTCACCTTGGCACAACGGCTCTTGTTTGTGTTCTCAATGCTTTTCAGCAAGTCAGCAATAGAGCCCCATTCTTCAGAGTCCTTGATGTGGCTCAAGCCTGGAGGGGCACCAGACCCCTCACCAGACCCCTCACAGTCCTTCACCCTCGTGGTATTCCTATTCTCTGCCATGATTGTAATATTCCAAACTAGTCTCTTCCAAAGCACATTAAATCACAATGACAAGACAATTATCCTGTCCCCAAGTCAGATCTCCAAGCACATTGCGATCCACGCTGAACATGTTTTTATTCCCCTAAAAAGGAAGCCGACTTCTAATTGAGCCTCCGGGCCTAGTCTTGTTTGGTGCTGAGGAAGTGTGCTCTGACGTCTCTCGCCCGATCCCTCTCTTACGCTATTGTGTCCAGGAAGGATGCAGACATCTGACGACAGCGCTAACGAAGCGTCTGGCGCTAATCCAACCGATTGAGATCCCATGAGCCTGCCATCTGCTGGCCTGCCAAGGAAATGATAAACAATGCACAGTCAAGAAAGTTTTCAAGTAGGGGTGGAAGGAGGAGGAGGGAGGGAAATCAATTGAAGGTGAAGTGGATAGATGGTACGCATTGTGTCAGTGATAGATTGGGTTGGTTTCAACAACTACTCTGATCGGCTCATGACGTAAGCAAGGAAGGGGTGGGGCTAGCAAGAAGTGAGTAGCCAACCCAGACCGCATTTGTCTAGATTAGAATAGGAATCATTCTGTTACAAATCAAACAATCCTCAAATCGCTCTTGGCTTTTATCAGATCTCGGCATCAGTGAGTGGGTTGATATTTTAAGCTGGGGGGATGGGTCGAATGTTTGGCAAGGAACATATGCCAATGTGACAAGAAAAGGAGAGGGAGACAGAATCTTAGTGTTATACTGAGATTGACAGTAGAAGAGATAGAGACAGAGACAGAGACATAGAAGAGATAGAGACAGAAACATAGATGAGATAGAGACAGAAAGAGAGAGAGGGAGGAGTGAGAGAAATAAAGATAGACAGAGTAAAGGAAGAAAGAAAAAAAAACATAATGATCCAATACATAACCTGTTAAAGCAAATTGATTGTCAGTTAGTTCCTGGGAAAAAATCTGTTTATATGACTTAATTATCCACTTTGGAGAAATATGTGCCGTTCTTTTTCTTGATCCTAATGCCAGTAAGACCACTTTAGACTAATTCTCGTCGCTAAATAAGTTATCTAATATTTTAAAACACCCTGACACTAAGTAAAAACACTCACCTGACTAGTTGCTGGCAATGCTACAATCTTGGCAGTGATGTAAGATTCCTGAGAGGTCCACAGTGATAGGTCCTAGACTGATTGGACTTCGCTGCACCTGTCAAGTAACAAGAAGATAGCAGGTTAACAGGGGTATCATCACACATGGAAGTCAGGTGTAAAGGTGTGAGCAGTTCTGGTACAGGACCTTAAAGCAATTTGTCACATTTCTACGACTTAAAACTAACAATTACACATACACTGAAAACCCTGAGTTTTAGCAAGCACACAAAAAAAAATTGTTCTCCTGAATGACTTTGATCAAATATACTAAATATAACCAAATGCGGGTTACAAGTACTTCATAGATCAATGTTTTATTCTACATCACAAATTTCCTGGTGGTGTTTTTTATTTCAGGGATTTTTTTTTCTCAAAATTATTGTCAATTTGGTAAATAAACAAATGTAAAATTCACAGATGAAACTGAAATATGCTATAGAATTAATTACCAAAGGATTTCCATTAATTTCTTGATTTGACAGATTCTTAAAATCAATATTTATCCTTTAACAAACATACAATCAAAGGACCTAGAAAGAATGTTTGCTATGGATAAGGGACTGTTCCCGAGTGTTAATGCTATGTTATGTGTTGGCCTATCTGATGACATGCATATCAAAGAGGATGTGAGTACCACGATGTGACACTCAACAGATAAAATATTGATAATGAAATGAAGCATCTGCTTTTACTTAGACTTTGATAATCTGCCTTTGATGGACACTTCAATTAAGAATCCTTTAAAGAGCTACATACTATAGTATATACAAGGGTTCACTTCCATCTCGAAAAGTTATCAACAAAAAATTGAAACCAGTTAGGCTTCTGAGAAACAAAATGATTATACGGAATCACTTAATTTGGGGTGATAATTTCACTGCATTATTAATGCCAAAATGTTAATTAGTGAATAGGCAAACAATTTCATCTATATTTCTTCGTTATAATTACTGGTAAAATTTAGCATATTGCCCAGTATATTAAACAGGATAAAAGAATAGGACAATATAGGGTAAACGAAGTACACAATAACTGTGTCTGCTGAAGAGCAAGAAGGGCATTATAATTAGCTCACATACTTTTACACAGAATTAACACCTTTCTGATTCTAAACAAGTTACATATCAGTCACCTGGTGTCTGAACAAATATAGGAAAGAGAGAGAGAGATAATGATTCTCAAAAATGTGACCTACTTGTCAAGTTCATATGATAAATCCACAGCAAGTGTATTTATATCTTGAATCAAATGAAGAAGGCAAAGAGCGAATCGAATACTATGTACTATCATGGGCAACTGGGGAAAATGTCACATTAAACAATCTCGAGTCTTTGAGTCTCATTTCAAAAGCTGTTAATATCATCTGTAAGAATATGAGAAGAAATTTGAAAAGTATTTCCAGAAGTCACTTAGTCATTTAAGAATGAAAAATAGCAATAATTGTTTCTTTTATGTAACATAACTACAAAGTTTCATCAACATTTGATAATAGAATATAGGACAAATGAGCATCGACTACAGCAGTGCTGGCAATTTAACTTTAGAATGTTTGACAAAATAATCACACTTTTTATAATAATAATAAAATAACAATATTTATAAAGCTCAACATATCCATCTCTAGAGATGCTCAAGGCGCATACAAATAATTTAAATTAATATTCAACATATTCAACATAAATTTAACAATATGCATTGAGCATCAGGTAAGTTTTAAGCCCATTTTTAAAGTTGAAGAAAAAGAAACAGCAGTTTTACTTTCTCAATCTTGATTTTTCCAATGGTACATTTTTCATCCAATGAAGTTACCCATGCTGTCCGCAAATGTCTAACTAATATTTCAATACAACCATATTGACAATCACAAGATGCTAAAACAAATGGAAGAAAATCAAATATCATTACTACCAGGAATAGAATACAAGCAGACTTACTGCTTCACAACAAATCCACTCCACTCCAGGAAGGCTGGGTGTATAATCAATCCACTCCAGGAAGGCTAGGTGCATAATCAATCCACTAGTGTCTAATCCTAGATATCCAGTCAAGACAAGAGAAGTCAAACATCAAAGATTTCCTGCAGAACTACACAGGTTTGTTTCATTAATACCTTGAAGATATCCTCATCAACCACTAAGATCAAGGAGAGAACAGACCGAGAGAGAGTTGAATTCTTAACCATTGATTTCCTCCGCTGCTATAGGAGAGGTTTGATCACCAATCAAGATAAGGCTGAGATGTCAGTCATAAAAACCAAACAAATCTGATAAGAAATTGGCCTTTCTGGGATCGACCGACTTGAGGTTTCTTCTCTAATTTTGTTCTTCCACTGCGAAATGTGAAGCGCCGCCAAGCGTGTTTCTCGCTCACTGGTCTCCAGTCCAATTATTCACTGTGTATACTCAGAGTTGGATGCGAGGTCTAATAAGCGATCGCAAGTAGGTGACTGAGACGTGCACGTGGCTCTACGCCAGGGGTGGGTTAAACGTCAAACGCACACGCAGATTCAAACATGTGAGTACCTCGGGGATGGCACACACGGCTCACATTGAAACCTAACCTATCGGCTGGCCCGAGATCGAAGCAGCGAGAGTCGAGAAGCTGACTGGATTGCTTGGCCAGGTTCGCAACGTCACAGGCTGGCAACCCTCTACAAGTGCCCACTGCACCTAATTTCCGCTGACCTGAAATACGATGAGAGGGGTATTTGTCATATTTCCTGGTTTTCCATCGTCCTGTCCCACACAGCTTGTTTGACATACTGAGAGCAGCTCCATCCACACATCAACCGTTACATGCATCTAAAGCTCTAATACCAAACACTCTTCACATAGACTTTAAAATCAAGAAGGAGCATCATATTGATTAAATATGACCACAGAAATTCATTCACTTAGATTAATTACTGATTAATTTCACCTGATTTTTACAAAGCAAGTGCTTTAGGTAAGCATTGGAGCAACTATAGGGATCTCCAGCTCTAACTTTGCTTGTCTAGGCTATCCAAGGGATTGAGGAATTGAGGATTAATGCCTTCGTACTATACTGCTAATAATACATCAACTTTGTCTCAAATTTGAGGACCCCATTGTGAACAAGGAGAGAAAAGATAAAGGTAGAAACATTGAAGTATTGAAGAAAGTCAGAGAGAGAATAGGAGAAGGGAGAAGAAAGAGAACATAGATGATAGAGATAGAGAGTCACAGAGAGAGAGGGGATGAGGGAGAAGTAAGAAATAAAGAGGAGAAATGGAGAGAGAGAGAGAGAGAGAGAGAGAGAGAGGGAAAGAGAGAGAGAGTGAGAGAGAGAGAGAGAAGGGAAGAGATAGACGGATGAAGAAGACAATGTACACAGAAGTGACCTATATTCTGTTTTCTTAGGGAAGACATTATTACGTCCTGATACCGAGCCAAACTCCATGTCTTTGCCTGTCAGAGAGAATTAAAAACCAAATAGGCTCAATTCACAAACTGTCAAGCACTTTTGTTTATTCGTAAATACAAAAGTCTTGACGTGATTAAGATGACATCATCTTCCTGAATGTTCAAAACATTTAGCAGCACTGTTGAAAAGTTCAAAGTTTGCATGTTTCTCATTTAATCGATCTATTGTGTTTAGTTCCATGGTCAATCCCTCAATGCTGTTTCCTCTGTTTCTTTCCTTCTTTATCTCTCTCGTCATATCCCCATCCCTCTACCCTTGACAATGTACGTTTTCAACTCAAAATTCACTTTCTGTTGAATGATCATTTTATTCATCTCTGTTGTTGTTTTCCCAAGGAACTAAGAATTTTCATTTCTTCCATTACCTTCTCTTCCCCTCTCTCTTTATGTATTCTCTTTTTTTCTCACTCTCTCTCTCTCTCTCTCTCTCATACTTTGTGTTTTCCTCTCTTCTAACTCTTCTCGTAGTCACTTTCTTACACTTAACCTCTCACAGCATTTTCTTCCTTGCCTTCTACCTCTCTCCTTCTCTCTTTCACCACCTACTTTTTTCTTCTCTCTCTCTCTTTCTCTTCATCTCTCTCACTTCTTTTTTCTTCTCTCTGTCTTCTCTCTTTCTCTTCTCTCTCTCTCTCTCTCTCTCTCTCTCTCTCTCTCTCACTTCTTCTTTCTTCTCTGTCTTCCCTCTCCATCTCAATGCAAATTCTCCACACTCCTCCTAACTGTATCCATCTCTCCTTCCTTCTCCCCCTCTCTCTCACTTTCATGAGAGTTCAAAAGCCCCTAACCAACGGGACTGCGATCCCCTCTGAGGGTCATAACCAAGACCCTTTCCTGCTCCAGGAAGCCACTTGACTTCTTTAAATGTCAGCTCTCCCTTTTTAACGATACCCTCGTTGTCCACCGAGCTCTCATCAAAGCCATGTCACTCCTACATCGCCACTATACATCTTATAGACATTACAGATTTAAATAATCTAGTGATCATTCCTGCTTCATCTTTGATTATCAAAAGTTCTGGAAGTCTTTTTAGCGATCGATGCCCTCATTAATTGTCCGCAGCTAGAGTTTTAAACAAAGCTCTGTAACTCCTCATGAGTAGTATCGCCACAACGGATTCTGAATTTTCTAGAAGTTAAAGATTCCAAGAAGATAGAATGAAGAAATTCTTATCATCTGTACTTACAAAAGTTCTGGAAGTCATTCAAATTGCAAAATATCTTGTGAAAATCTGTAACATCCAGGGTTCATTCATACCTAGTTCACTTCAGATTATCAATGAAATTTTTCCTGCTAGAAAATCCTCATTGATGACTGCAGCTCTAATTATTACAAAATGTTCCCCAAAACTTAAAAAACAAACATTTCATCCATCTCTGATCTAGGAATATTCCTGCAAGATCAAATTCTGGTGGGGGAATCAGAATTTCTGGCCACAAATAGTAAACATCTTCTTTTTAAAATCTTACAGAAGTTAATTTTCAAGAATTTAGCTAATGTGTCAGCATAGCAATGTATCCAACCCTAAGCCATAGTGTATTTTAAAAATGTGAAAAATAGAGTTTGCAGATTGGCAAAAATCCCAAGTTAACCAAAGGGATTCCTTCAATTT